CTCCCTGCCGGCCCTCAACCTCTCCTCCGTCAAGATGACCCCGCTCAAGTGTGCCGTGCTGGCCTCTGTCCTGGGCACCGCCGGGCACAAGGTGGAAGAGCTCAACCTGGCCCTGTGCCACCTCGACGCCGACAGCCTGCGGATGCTCTTCCCCATCCTGCTGCGGTGCAAGACGCTCCAGTTGAGTCCTGCTGGGGCCGGGCTGCGCCTGCACGCCGGGGCTTGCCTGGGCTTTGCCAGTGCCGGCTGCTTGCCCGGCGCCTGGGAGCTGCCAGCGCTGGGTGAGGGGCAGGGTCATCGGTGTGATCAGGCAGAGCCCCTTGCTGATGGAAGCAGCCTGTCTGCATGCAGCTGGGCCCTGCAGAGCTCTTGCAATGGCTCCTTGGATGGGGCTTCCCCCCTGCCCCACCCCAGCTTCCAGCCCCTGTTGTTTCTCCGGCTCTCCTTGTTAGATCAAAGGGCACCACAACCCGGGCAGGCCTCTGGGCACGATGCCGGCAGCTCTTGCGCGCCGGGTGCTGCAATATCGCCTTCCCCCAGGGGGTGGCGGGCCGCCATCAGGAGAGAGGACAAGGGGCATGGCTGCAATCCCACTGCCTCTTCTGGGGTGGGGGGCTGCTTGGGGCTGCTTCCCATGGTGAGGACCCCCATGGTCCTCCTCTCTGTACCGCGGAGCCTTGCTGTGTCCTCTGCCTGGCTGGGCCTGGCCAGTCCTCCTGCACTGGTGTCTCCAGAGCAAGCCCCAGCACCAGGGGCTGGTGCTGCCCAGTCCCTGGGGCTCAGCTGTGGTGCAGAGCACTCGCACGGTGCCTGCTGGGCCAGCGCTCAGGGGTGTCACACGTGCAACCTAGCTCATGCCCAAGAACGGGGCTGCCAGGCACGTCGGGGCTTGGGGAGCTGTGCTTTTCTGCCGGAGGGGCTGGGGGCTGGTTGGGCCCTGTGGACAGAGCTGGGAGGAGGCGCCAGGTAGGGAACGAGAGCGGATCAAGCCGAAGGGCAGGAGCATGAAGCCGGGGATGCACCGTGGGCAGGCAGGAGGAGGCTCTGGACTGCCAGAGCAGCCGGGGCTCTCTGGAGGAGGGTGTCTCAGGGTTTCGCTGCAGTGCAGAAGCTTTATGAACAGGGGTTAGGTGAGGCGGTGCCTGCAGGACCCAGGAGCAGGACCCAGGCACGTGGGCTGTAAACCCCAGATGAAGGTGCCCTGCCCTGGGGCTGCCCCAGGAGACGCCGTCCTCCCCTGGGCATCACCTCCTGGCCTGGCTGCAGAGCCTGGGCCCTTGTTGGGTGGTGGGGGCAGGAGGGGTCCGCT